GGGGGCAGGAGCAGAGAAGAGCACAAAATGACTGCCAGGCTCCCTTCTGGGTGTCGGCTTTTATCTGTTTCGTGCTCTTTTTCCTGCAGTTTGGGGGCTACCAAGGCCTGGTAAGTGACTTTCTTTTATTTATTTTCAAGTTTCTGACCTTTCCCCCCCTCCAGAAGCCTTTAAGGGGAGGGAGGGGGCACTTTTTTCCCTGTTCGTAACTCGAGGGAAGTTCGTATGTCGAGCGGGTTCGTAAGTTGAATTGTTCGCAAGTAGGGCCGTTCATAAGTCGAGACCCCACTGCAATTCCAGGGGATGCCAGAGTTGAAAACAGAATTGGAAAAACTAACAAAATACAGAGACCAGGCAATCAAAACATCTCATTTGTGGATGAAACACACTTCAGTGGCTTCCATAGTCATCGGGGTTTTGGAAACAATATCAAGAACTTTAACACAGTATTATAAGCACTATTATAAGATCATCAGAGCTACAAAAATGGCAGTATTAGGAACAGCATACAGTATATAATGTGCCGATATTTAACAGACACGTTTTTTGTTAGAACTTGTATCTGTTATATAATAACAAAGTTTTTATAATGTTGATTGACTGTGCCTGGTAGTTTTGAATAATAATAATAAATAAATCTCTCAGTCTCTGGCTCCACAGCCAAATGCCTGAACTACTGAGCATTCCAAGCCTCACTTTTTGTAAGAAAGTGAGGTCTTCAAGGCAGAGAACATGCAAGCATTTTAACTTTTCCCTGTCTTTGCTCTTAAGTGTACAAAACCAAGCTGATTCAAATAGAAGAAGAAAATGCTTATGACAACTACTTAATGGAAGTTCGGTAGCAATACATATTTTGAGGGAATCCATATCATGGATACCATAGAAAGAATAACACATTCATTAACAACTAATTTGAAAACCCGTATTAGTCCACTTCAGGGACAGGCTGGTTCAGTCCTAAAGTCAGCAATCGATGCCTTTACCAGATGAAATCAGGCTACCCTCAGAGTGTTCCTACTTACACTTCTCTGGAACCTATCAAAGGCTTTGACTTTTTGTATATGGGTCACATTGCTCTCTTTTGGTTTGTTTTCATTGTGTGTTATCTCTGGGAACAAACCAAAGCAAGCCTTCCTCTTTGAATTTGTTAATATTAATATTAATATTAAGAAGAGAGCCACTTCAGGATATTGGCAAATTAAATACTTCCTTGGCTCTGTGGAGAGTTTGAGGAAGTGAACAAAAAACATTAAGTATATTAAAGTAGCACAGATGCATTGCATCACATTAAAACTAAAATATAGTTGTCATCAAGAACCTGCCCAGTTTGGCTGTGTGTAGGCTTACAGCCAGATCTTTAAGAGAAAAGTCAACAAAAATCCCCCTCATTGCTGCATCCTGTTTTCTCCTGCTTCCAAGAGGAAGTTTTCCATTTGTCTTTTGTTTTTTAAAAGTAATGCATTGCATCTTACTGCCTTAATACACTTTTTAAAAAAAATCTCTTCCTCTGGCTATCCACGGAATCAAGGGAGTATTTAATTTGCCAATTATCAAGGAAGGATTCAATTTGCCAATATCCTGAAGTGGCTCTCTTCTTAAACTACTTCACAATATTGCCAAATTGACAGTAGACTGGTTGCTCAAGGTCCTTATGTCATTTGGACACAAGAATTGCATCAAATGTCATATTGCACCTCCTCGTGCCCCAGTTTAAACTGCTCCATTGCACTCCAAAGAGACTGTGGACAAGCCCTTGGTGATGCCAGAAGCACCTAGTTGTTTTTCTGACCATCTGGCTTCTCTTTGAAACTAGGAGGAAGAAAATTGTGTGGACATAAAGTAACTTGATTACTCAAAGTAAATAAATCTATATTCACCCTATGAGAGTAGAGGCAAAATCACACCTATCCAAGGCTCCCCTTCTGTTTTCTTCCCACTGATCCTCCCCCTCAACTCATATTCCTTTTTACTAAACAGATTAGCCTATTACAGTATATAGTCCAAATGTGATAATGTCATGTTTTGTCTGATTCCTTTAGGGAGTGACCTAAATACAGCAGCCAGTCCTCACAAGTTTAACAGTCAGAGAATCCCTGCACCTGCAGGAGAACAAGGACTATCTGATCTGGGGTCCCAGAACTGATATGTGGCCAACAAAGGATACATATGCACTGCATTTCATTGACTTACCGGGTGTATAGATTGCTCTTCCTTGGTTGGTTCCCTAGTGTACCTAACAAGTGCTAAAATGCCATGAAAGGTTCCACTCCACCTCTGAAAAGCACAACCATCAAACAAGAAAACAAGCAACAAGCTGACCAACTGCACTCAATGTGTGGTCCTCAATGGAACCACATCTACATGGAGGAAAGTGTGTAGTGGGGTCCCTCAGGGTTCTGTCTTGGGCCCATCACTCTTCATATAGTAGGCATCCTTCTGTCTCGAGAAACTATAGTAACATGCTCTGA